CATGTCAAAAGATTATCTATTAGTGAACATTGTGTATCAATCTTCTTTTCAGTAAATTCATAAACTGTATGATGTGGGATGGAAAAAAGTCAACATCAAGAAAAATATTCAACCAGGTAACTCTCTGTCTCCACATTGATAATGATTATTATTAGTAATTAATATTTTTTATTATTACTATACCATTCTAGGCTCTACAAATGATTAAAGAAAAACAGCTTGAAATGTAAGTTCTTTCATGATTGAATATTATACAGTAGTAAAGTTGAATTAATGTTTTATTTAAGCATTAGAAGATATTTTCCGTGTTTCCATTCTCTGTTAGAAACACGCGGGATTGTTGGGATTATGGTAGCTTCCTTGGCAACCACCCTTTGTGCTGTTTGTGCAATATTCATCTGCAGTGGGGTGTCTTTGTTAGCGATGTGTGTCAATATAAAGTGGTTGTTTCCATTAGGAGGCTAGTGTGAGAAGACATGCTGTATTCTATAACTGTTTATAAAATAACTATTATACAGCATGTATTTGTATGGAGTTGTATGTRTGTATAATCCTTAACATGAATTTTAAAAACATTACGATGTAAGCGCTACTTCAACCTAAAAGATATTTATTTTCGTCAAGCTTTCGGCTCACCGAGCCATTATCAAGACTGAATGAAAAACGTTACATTTTACAAAACAACATAAAAACAAGCCAGGGCGGATGATCCCTCAAAATTATCTCTGTGTGTAATTAGAAGTTAGTTACCGCGCACGCTTATTAGATCTTCTCAGAGTGTGCGCTCATTGTTTTTATGTTGTTGTGTAAAATGTAACGTTTTTCATTCAGTCTTGATAATGGCTCGGTGAGCCGAAAGCTCGATGAAAATAAATAACTTTTAGGTTGAAGTAGCGCTTACATCGTAATGAATAGACCAACGATCTGATTTAAAAACATTATTATGCAATGGCTTTGTTGTTGCTTTAGATATGTCTTTTAAACTGACCAATGTTWATGATAACAATCAAATATTGGTGTATTGCACTTAAGACTAGAACTGTAAATGAAACTCTATATGACAGTGTGTCAACCGCTTCTTTAGTTGACAACAGTCTCTCATGCACAAAGACCTGAACAAAAACAAAAGAAAAATGTTGTCAATACAATAGCCCTATAAATTTGCCTTTTCTCCGATTCTGTATTCCCAGAAGGTTCAAACTCTTGCTCAGCCTAAGGCTCAAATCGGAGAAGATTCAAATTTCTARAGTTATTGTAATGTCAACATTTTTTCGTGCTTTCTTTTGTTCTCTACGCAAGTGAATCTGTTGTCTACTAAAACAGTGGTCGCTCACATTGAACTGGAAAAAGGCTTATTGTGCAATACTCCATTTTACAGTTTCGAGTGCCGTCTTGAAAGGTAAAGTGAGGCAGGAGTTCAGATTGCATAACTTAATAGATACCTGTGAATAATTGTCTTTGGTGCGAAMAAAAGGTATCACTGCAGGCTCAACTTCTGTCTCGCTTCAAAGATGGTGCTGGGAAATGATCTGGAAAACCAAAGGGGATTTGATTTTTAACRAGTTTGATTATAATTATTATTGTTTTTTTAGTCAAATGAAATCTAAAGATCCTGAGTCAGTAGAGACAGACCCTGTGAAGGTGTTTCATCAGGCAGTAGAGAATGTGAAGCCAGTGGTTGGCTGTATACCACTGAGGAAGGCTGGCAAAGTTTATCGGGTTAGCTTTATTTAAACTAACTATTTCACAAGTCTGCAAGCAATATTAATTACTGATGTCTTTCTTTGTTAATCGGAAATCCATACATTGGTACATATACCAATAGAGTACAAACATTAAATGTGTGCAACACTTTCCACTATTTACTACAAAATAGTGTTAATTAAACAATAGAAAACAATAGAATTAGCATAATTTAGCAGTATTTAGTGGTATTTATGTTGCGCAGTTTTAGTGTTTGTACTCTAACCTTGGGCTCATAAATGATTGTTATTCAATAACAGGTTCCATCCCCTTTAAGACCCATGCGTCAACAGTTCTTTGCAATTAAATGGATCATTGGTGCCGCAAGAAAGCCAACTGGATCAAAGAATACCAGAATGCACCAGAAACTTGCTAAAGAATTATTAGATGCTTATAACAATGAGGTACTTACAGCACTTTCAAAAACTCTGAATCATTTGATAGAAATTAGGCTCTCCGGATTCTTAATTTTTGATAAGCAAAAGAACATTGTAGTGGATATGGTGTTTAACTATAACAAATAAATTACCTTTTTTTAGATGCGTATGTATAATTCCCTTATTTGGGACATACACATCCCCTGACAAATTTCAGGGTATGCCCCTTCGTGCTATTTTAGTAGCGATTTTTCTTTTTTGAACATCTTTGAAATTTCACTGGGATTTCGTGGGGTCATGTAATCCGCGCTATACATGCGTGAGGGGTTCTTTTAGATGCTCAAAGAATAGATTATTTGTTTTGATATTCTGCAGCATTTATTTCAGTCAGAAACATTGATGTATATAATGYGTCGATGTCTCCCACTGACAATGCAACAAAACATGTGAAAGTGTACTGCAATCGTAAAGAAGAAAAAGGTGGGCTGTGCCTAACTTTATATAATGCAACAATTTGTMTTTACAGGGTTCATCAATTAGAAAGAAACAAGAGTTACACAAGACTGCCGAGGCTAACAGGGCCTTTGCTCACTATCGCTGGTGGTGATGTACCTTTGCTTGGAGAAGCTACTTGCGCAAGGCTTCATGGGTAGCTTGAATCCTTYTGAAGTATAAATAATAAAAAGGCAAATGATTATGAAGAGGCTATACTACCCATGATACCCTGCGCCACTAGCTGGTAGGCGAGTAGGATGTCACGCGTGGAAAAATCTTCCCCGAACTGGACTGGAATTATCAACTTTCATTGGACAACACTGTATAAAAAACCCAAGATGTGGTTTATGTTATTAAAGAACTTTTAATTATTGCCCAAGTAACGTTCTTCCTTCTTTCAACTATAATAGCGATTCTTGTTTCAAAATTAATAGTAATGGTTTTATCGACTTTCAGAGACTAATTTTTTTCCTTCCTCGAGATCCAATCTCGGTTTTACTGTACAGTAGTGAGAATTACTTTCTTCGACACTTTAGAGCAGATTCACATGAACCATGAAATAAAAACTAAAAGTACTAACTAATAGGCACTATTAGTTCCTAATAGTCGTTAGCACTGAACCAGAACAGTTTATTTKATCCAATAAGCAATACCCAAGAGAMCAYTATAACAATCAAAGTAATCTCTTTGTACTGTTCTGGTTCAGTGATAGTATCTAAATAGTACCTATTAGTTACTAAGTATTTAGTTTCTATTTCATGGTTCAAGTGACTCTGCTCTATTCTATATATATTAACTAACAAAAACTTAACGCTCTAATTACATTGTTTTCTTATGTCGGTTTGAACTACTCATGGCATCGCACTTTAATTACCAAGTTTCACTCCTGTGATTTAAATACATTTTATCACTTGATAGTCCAGGAACATGATGCGAAATTGTGCAAATTTATGGAACATTTTTGAGTAAAATTTGATATGGAGGCACGTCCAAAAAATGGCATTCGATTGTAAAGGAAAACACCACAATGCAGGGGCCGCGGAGACGCCGCCGAATCAATCATCAAACAATTAGCTAATAATTCAGTCAGTAAGAGCATATACGCACCTACTTATAGACGCGCGCAAAATTGTGGATACAAAAATTTTCATCATAGAGCTGACACAGGTAGCCCAAGCACTGGACTTCGCCGGCTATCATTGAGAGAAACCGCGCGCGCTACCCAAAATCCAGTTCGAGGAAAATGTCAATCAAAAAGCTACGTCATAATTGAATTGTCAAATTAGAACAAGCTCGTTCAAGTCGGTTCTTCAGCTAAACACTAACGAAGTATTTGCAAAGACTTTTTGCTGAGATCAGTTAACTCTTTTTACACTTGAAATTGAAATTTGAGGTGAGTTTTCGTCATAAAATTAAGGAACTTGTTTTCAACATTTCTCGCTTTTACGCATGCATCGCGCATTCAGCAATTGAGTTGTGAAATGAAAATCTTGAAGAGAATTGCCATGCAATTTCCTGAAGCAAGTCTATTGAACGAGCTGCAAGCGAAATTCGCGGTCAAAATCGGAATCGATTAGTGGAACAGACGCCCTTATCTTTGACACAGCGGGAACTTTCCAGAAATCATCGTTATTTCTCATTTTTTTTTTTTTGTTGGTTTGTCGTTTCAGAAGTATGCCAAAACGAAAAAGTTATAGTAAGAAGAGCAAGAAAACGCGCGTCAACCCGCAATCAAGAAATGTTTTCTTTAGAGCGTGTGTCCGTGTAGCTCAAACCCTTGGATGCTGTATTCTACCCCAGGAGGAAGATGGTGAGACTTGCTCGTGATTTGTTTGTGATTCACGGCATTAGTCTAGACGCATCCATCATTCATTATTAAAGCAAACTCAGGAAAACCATGAAATAAAATCCAACTAAATAATAATAAATAGCTGCTATTTAGTGACAAATTGTCAGTATCAATGAGCGAAAACGCAATGAACATGAATCCACATTATTAATTCATCTTGATTGCSTTCTGTGGTTTCATTGATACTGACAATTTGTCTCTAAATAGCCATTATTTGTAAGTATTTAGTTTGATTTTATTTCATGGTTTTCCTGCGTTTGCTCTATTAGCTTACTAGGTAATGGTTACTATGGTTACATTAATTCTCGTGTTCACTTATAGATGAATACGATTATTATTATCCAACTTACACCAAGTCTGCCATGTCTTTAACTGACACTAAAGAAATCACTTTGGCTCATGAGGAAACGCCAATTAATGAAGTGAAAACAGCTGAGAAACCTATATCTG